CTTCCTTCCCCAACTTTTCCATTAATGCCCTTATTACCCCTCCCTCCTTCCTCATCTATCATACCTTTTTCCTTCTTAGCACTGCTTCCCTCCCTATTAATAACATCTTATCTATTCCTTTTTCTTACCTTTAGTTTTGTTGGCTTTTCAGATTTAGGACATGTAACCTTGTTATGTCTTGCTTGTTTGCATACACTACACATAATCTTTTTCCCAACCTTTGACACAGTGTGTCTAGCACCCCTTTCACTTGAATCCTTTCTTCTATTAACTTTAGGTCTACCTGACATTTTTCTTTTCAATGGTGGCAAAGGTGGAATGAATTCAGTAGGTGGCCACATGTTGCTACCATTCATCCCACACATAGGATACTTGTAAGTGTTCTTATAAATTTCTCCATAGTACATTGGATCCACATAATTACCAACATCACTGTTAAGGTATGAGATTGTTGCAACTGAATGCACACATCCATACCCATTTAGTTGCCACATTCTACATGAACAAGTCTTCTTATCTACATCCACAACGTAAGACTCTGCCAAATTCCTTGTTTCAAACTGGTTTAAACCAGTAGGTAAAACCTACCAATACCTAATGCAACGGTATAAAAGTTAGGGTGTATAGTGGAAAAACTAAATAAAGTATTAATGGAAAAGAAAAAACCTTTGAGATCCTTTCAACTGATTCAATAGGATTGTAATGGCTACGCATGGTTTATAATCAGGCTATGAACAACCTTTGATGGTGAGATTGAATTGCCTCTCCATAACATACAACCTAATTTCTTCTAACATTATGATTATTGGTTCTTTCCTTACATCTCTAATGACATTGTTGAAGCTTTCAGATAATCCATTTTCAACTGCATCACATATTCTCCCCTCTCTAAAGAAAGCTTTACACCATGATTTTGGGTTCTTTTCCATAAGGTAGTCAAATGCTACAGGATTTAGTACTTGTATTTCCTTCATTGCTGCATTGAATAAAGGTTTAGTTGATGCTTTTCAAGCTTTCCAAAACATCCTCTCATAATGTACACTACCGAACCTTTTCCTAAAGTTGGCAACAATATGCCTTGCACACTATTTGTGTTCAGCATTAGGCATTACTTCCTTCACAACCTCTAATAGCCCCTTTACAATTTAAATTCATATGTTAAGAAAATGGAAATTTATTAACAAGAAATATGAAGTATAATAAGTGATTTACCTTATGTTGATCTGACATCAGGGTGATACCACTACCATCATCAACTTCTAGATCATCTTGAAGATTATCCAAAAACCATTTCCAATTTTCTTTATTTTCCACACACACAACTGCCCATGCTATTGGGAAAATATGATTTTTAGCATCTCTTCCTACGGTACATATCAATTCTCCACTACATAATCCCTTTAAGAAACAATCATCCAAGTTTATTACTCTTCTACAACTTCCTTTCCAACCTTGTTTCAGCCCCTCAAAGCATATGTAAAACTTACTAAAATATGTCTTCCCATCAAGCCTACTGTTGACATCCAATTTGATAGTTGATCCTGGATTGGATCTTCTTATCTCTTCACCATATGACCAAAGCTTGGCATAATTCTCAACTAGTGTACCTTCAATAAGTTCAATTGCATATTTCTTTGCTCTTCTACACTGTCTCATACTCACATCAATTCCAAAAAATTTTTTTACTTATTCCTTTAGTAGCCTAACACTCATTTTTTGTTTTTGTAAAAATTTGGATGTGAAATGGCTACCAATCCATGCATAGCTTACAATTGACCCCATTTTAAAATTTCTAACATAATTATGGTCATCTATAAGAGACTTAATCTGAAAAGATTTTTCCTCACTCATCCATGAAGCCCACAATCTAAACTTGCATTGCCCTGAACAACATTCAACTAAAAGCCTCCTACTATCATTTTTTTGTAGCACAATTGATATCCTTTAGCAATGGCATAATTACACAACATATGTTTTAATTGTTTAGGATTTTCAAATCTCATTCCTAACATAGGTTTTTGTTTATTTCCAATGAACATTTTCATTAAAAGTTGTTACCTCCTCATGAATTGGGTCGTGTCCATCCATCTGATCAAATGGATCTTCATGAGATGGATCCTCTTGAGGTGGAGTGTCTGGAGTTGGCTGCTCCTTGGGGCAGAGCTTGTTCAAAAATACATCATTCAAGGTCTTGTTCATGGGTATGCAATCTCCATCTTTAATGTTATCGTCCAAATCACCTTGCACTTGTACTTCATCTAGGTCAATGCCTCCTTCTGTCTCAACATGCAACTCTTCTACTACTTCACCTACACCAGAAAACTTGTCCTCGGGGGTGCATACTTCAGCCATCTCATCAACAATCCATTGATAAACATGAACACCAACATGATCCATGTATACAGAAATTACACAACCAGAATCATACCCTACTTCCATAAACTCCTGGTATTCTTTCTTAGTTGCTATTATCCTCAGTCCTTCAGGGAACTCAATATCGGGTATGCAAAAGTACACATCAACTAACCTCTCATTTGCAAATCTCTGAATGAACAGTAGAAATTCGTTTTTGTCCATTCCAGTAAAATCCACATCCTCAAACCTTTGCTCCACTCCATCTGAGTAACTAATCACCGGATACCTCGTAAACAAACCAGCAAAATGAAGATCTATCTTCATGTAGATGGCTATAGAAAAAATCCAGGTTTGATTTTTGGATGAACAGTAGAAGAAAATGGAGATATTGGTAGATGAAACCGATTAAAGACAAAAATTACTTGGAGAGGAAGGGTTGGTTTCATTTATCGATACACTAACATGTGGCATATGATTTAGTTTAATGACCTAGCTTTCTTTTAATGACATGTCCAAGAAATAATGCTGATTGGGATTAGGGTCACCGGGTGACCCCTTCACTTTATAAAAAATGGCCTAATTAGTCGGTTAAATGTTAGTTTATGCCCTTCTAAAGCCAAAAAATAAAATAAGGGACCTTTTAAACCAAAACTTGTAAGTTAGTGGGGCTACAGTGACATTTTCCCTTAAATGAATAAACAACCTGAATATTGACTCATAAAAAGCATAAAGACGTTACGTGTATAGTAGTAATGCAAACCCAATCATTCTAAAATAAATGATTGATAGTATGTTCCTTGTTTAGTACACTTGAAATGTATTGTAAGTTGTACACACATGTTTAGTTTTGAATCAAATCCTTGTTCTTGTAAAATAATGTACTCTTGTATACTTGACTCGTGAGTTAATGTTCGTGAATCATAAATTATACCTATTATATTTTATATGTACGTTCTGTATTGATACTAACTGTTCATGAATGCAACCCTTTGCTCGACATGTTATAAACGGTATTGAATACTGAATGAAGTATCTTTTATATATATATATATATATATATATATATATATATATATATATATATATATATATAATCGATACCCTAAGTCCACATCCAAACAAGGAAAAGGAAATAAAGCGAGTTATCAGTCCTAAGCCCTTTAAATCTTATATATATATATATATATATATATATATATATATATATATATATATATATATATATATATATATATGATTTTTGGGGAAAATATAAGTTTATAAAATATTTTAAAGAGTTTAACAATTTTGAAATACTTTTAGTGACTTGATGTCATTTTAATATAAATTTGAAACCATTTGATTTGAAGATAATTTGAATCCATTTTGTTTGTAAGATATTTTGAAACCATTTGTCTGAAACACAATATCCTTGTGTTAGACTTGTATCCCCCCCCCCCCCCCTAAAAACTGTAAAAACTGTGAAAATATAGGGGTATGAATTCACCTTTTTGAGGGTGATTATATTGATGATTTGATATTGGACGTTTATTTCCACAAGTGAAATCCCGAAGCAAAACAAGTCCTATATAGCAATTTCTGCAACATATTGACATGAAATTAGTGAGTATAGCCTCTAAGGCATCAAGGAAACAACCTAGGATGTAAGAATTACTTACCAAAGAAGTATTAGAAGCAAAGATATAAGGGTGAAAAGTGTCCACGGCGAGGAGGGATGCTCACGGCCCAAGAACACTTGATGTTCTTGAGTTCACGACCCACAATCAAGTGTGTGTTCTTGGTGAATTAAGGAGCTTCAAGGGTTTGTTGCCCAAAATTATGAAGATCTGGAGATGATTTCTTGAAGAATCGAAGAACACAAGGTGTGTTTAACAAGATTCAAAGGTGAAAGGAGGAACTTCGGATGATAGACGAGAGAAAACTTGAGTTTTCGGTTGAAGATATTGAGAGAGAATGCTTGTGTTTACGGCTAGAAGAGGAGAAGTGAGGGAAAAAGTTGACTTCGCATATATATATATATATATATATATATATATATATATATATATATATATATATATATATATATAGGTGGAAAGTTTGCGATCTGAGGAGCTCACGGTCCGAAGCTAAATCATGGCCGCAATCTGTTTACAGCTCGCACGAGGTTCACGACCCTTGCGAGGTTTGCAATCTGAAGGAAAGAAAGAATGAGAGGGGTTGCGAAGTTTCTTGGTTTTCAAGTGTTTTCCTTCTAATTTCTACCACAAACATTCTAAGAGTTTTAACATGAAAAGGTTATTATTCTAACCTTTATAAAAATCCAAACAAGTACGGGGACTTTAGTTGACCCAAGTGTGACTTTGGTTGACTAGGGTTAACTTTATAAGTAGAAAATAACGGGATGTTACATGTTCTGGTAGCATTCACTTTTCGTATTAGATTCGATGGCGATAGGTAGTCGGACTGTCATGATCGGGAAGATCACAAGGAATAATGGAGCCATGATTGGCAATATGGTTAGGGCAGATTTTGATAGCCGAAGTTCTCTTTGGAAGTCACGTGGGGCGACTGTGAGGTTGCTCTTGGCTCAGCAACCAGACAGGAATTCAGTATTCCAAATAAGTTGGGGACTAAGGAGGTCTCGGTTTCCTTA